AGAAAATATAAAGTAAGTTCTGTTTTTTTTTTTTTTTTTTTTTAATAAGCACTTTGGTTTTTTTTTTTTTTTAGAGAACACACTTCCGGTTTTTTTTTTTTTAGAGAGCACATTTTCGTTTTTTTTTTTTAGAGAACACACTTCCGTTTTTTTTTTTTAGATATTTTAAAAAAAGATAACGAAGACTAAAATTCGTATCTAATATTTGAAATATAGATTATATATATCGAAATATCATAAACAGTCGAGCATCGATCAATCCATGATGAAACCTCTGCTGCATGTTGTAATGTGATTATCGAAGAAGATGGTGTACAATATGAAAGTGCTAACAAAAAAAAATTTACTATGATAGCCAAATATAAGCTCATATAGGATTATTCGGGGGCCTGATAAATATTACAAATACAAATTTATACACTTACTAAAAAAAGATCATCCAAATCCAATCTTTCATGCAATGTAGCTCTGCCTAACGATAATTCTAAAGAATCAAAACGAATGTTCATAAGATTTTGATAAATCTAAAAGATATGCGTGATAAATAATCATTATTATATTAGAAATGAGATTGGTCGTGTGTCACTTTTACATTTTTTATTTACCTCATTTGTCTCATTTTCAATTGCTTCATTAGATGTGTCCCAATCTTTTTCTTCTTTGAACTGGAAGTATGTTGATGGATCGAATGTTTTGTTTTCTGTAAAATAAGCACATAATTGTCTATGAAATCGATTAATGAAATTATGGAGAATGTAATAAAAAATTGAAAGTATCTTTACCAGAATCATCAATCATTTGCAGAAAGTCCAAGATTTCTGTGTCAGCGTCATCTTGTGCTTTATAAACCACGAGGATATGTAAAAATCAGAAACAGTATAACATAAAAAAAATAGTGGAATAGCAGTAGAAAATTTACCCTGAAGTGTTGATCGCTGCATTCGGATATCTTCAAATGTTCGTATCCGGGGTAAATATGGAGAACGATATCGATGGATATAACGATACGTATAAATTTTATTTCGTTACAGAACGAAAGCCTGTTAGTGATCTTGAATCAGCAAAAATTATCGTACTGCAGTACTGTATTACAATTTTATGGGTCCATGGGAGCTGGAGCTGATTGGCCGATTATTATTTCATAAAACCTAAAAGTGAAGATTCAGATTTATCGTTATTATTATCGACATAAAGTTAAATGATATTAAAATTCTGATAAAAAATGGACAAAATTTTTCCTAAAGATACTATTAAGGTTTTATTTTTTATTGTTTTTCTTTAATTTGTTTTATTTTACTATTTTCTCATAAACTTTCCATTTTCCGTTCAGAATACCGCGGATTCGATCGGAATCACGAATCTTAAGGACAGTGCAGCGGCTGCATTAGCTCTCGATGCCGAATATAGAATTCATGAAATTATACAGGTAAAGCGTGTAGTCCTATACGCTGAAAAAGTCACCAAAGTGTAGACTGACTAACTACAAAACTACTTTTGTATAGGAGGCGAACAAGTTCATGCGTCATTCGAAACGTACAAGGCTTACTGGCGAGGATATAAATAATGCTCTTCGTGTTATTAATGTAGATGTATGTTCAATCATTTGATATTATCTTATTTAAAATTTGTCAATGTATTTACTTTGTACTATAAACCATTTCTCCTTCCAAATTCTCCTGTATGTAGCCACTATACGGATTTACTTTAAATGACAGTTTCAAATTTCAACGCACTTTAGTAGCAGGTCAACAGGAATTATTATTTATGGATGATGATGAATATGAATTTGAATCCCTTATTACCTCTCCTATGCCAAAATTACCTGCAGAAGTCACATACACTGGTAGGTGAATCATTCTCAAGTTATTTTTTGAAATTTAATTAATTTGATTATAAAATTTTTTTTTTTCATATCAAGCTCACTGGCTAGCTGTTGAAGGTGTCCAACCAGCAATACCCCATAATCCACCCCCACCTATTGAAGGTATGGATTTTTCATCTATCAATAATACAATTTTTACGTACTTATTTTCTTTTATATTAGATACTATACCGGAAAGTAACCGTAAAAAGGCTCCTTCAAATGCCATTGTTCAAGTTCCTAATGGTGTGGTGGTTGGCACACCTGATATTGAACTTAAGCCTTTAGTTCAACATGTAATATCTCAAGAATTAAAAGTGTTTTATGATAAAGTCACAAAGACCATAAAAGGAGGGGATAATAAAATGAAAGTATCGGTTCTTAATAGTCTTCAGCATGATACTGGATTGGCACAGTTGCTTCCATATTTTGTACAATTTGTTTGTGAGCAGGTCAGTTTTTAGATATAGTTCGTTGCAGGTTGTCCTACTCATTAATCACACTTTATCATTATAGATTGGACAAAATATCAAAAAAAACACCATAATAGAGTCAATACTGGAAATGACTGATGCATTAATAAATAATACCAGTCTTCGTCTAGAACCTTATGTAAGTAGTACGTACTTGAATTGTATATTAACAAGGAAATTCATTGTAATTTTATGTTTGCCACAATTGTTATGGTAGCTACATCACCTGGTTCCTGCGATATTAACTTGCGTAGTAAGAAAGAAGTTCGGCCCTGATCCCGATTATCATTGGAAAATACGCGATTCTGCCGCGCTTGTACTTGCTAAAATATGTGATCGATTTGGAATGGAATATAATACTTTACAACCAAGAGTTATCAAGACATTATTGTCCGCTTTAACTGATCAAACAAAATCTTTAAGTACTCATTATGGCTGTATAGTGGCTTTGGGTGCATTGGGACGTGAGGTTGTAAAGACCATGTTAGTACCAAATCTTAAAACATATTCAGAAATATTAGAACGACGTAGAAATGCTGATAAAAACAAGGCAGAACGTTGCGAGAATGCTATTTTAGTAAGTTTTCTCTTATATGCGTATGACCCAGTTAAATAATCTGGTTTGTTTTAACTATTTATTTTTATAGGATATACTGCCGAAATTAAAAGGGAGTAGTATTCCAACGGATAGTATTCAAAAATCACAGATTTCGGATGAGGATTTGCAGCAGAGGTTAGCAGACAAAATTGGTGTTCAATTGGCGAAACAAGTAATTGATAAAATTGGTGATAATGAAGTTATTATGGCTATACTTAATTGTTAAAGAGTTATTTAATGATATTAGATATACATAGAAACAATATATGAATAATGTAAATAAAGTTAGATTTTTAATGCGATTAGTAGACTAGCATTAAACCTTAAATTGATAATTTTGGCAAGCTACTGTTTGTCAAAATCACATGAATTCGGATCCATGACTTATGAGATCCGCCGAATCCGGATATCCGGCCCGTTATAATTTTATAGCTATTTTTCATCCTAAAAACCATCCAACTCTTAGGAAACTACATCGCAATTTTCGGAACTTCTATCCGAAGACAGTGATGGGATTTCCGAGAGTTAGATAATTTAAGCTGAGGATTTCGAGATCAGTCAATTTTTTAAAATGTACATATGGGCGGATCTAATATATGTCTATCTCATATAATGACGGATTTTTTGATAAAAAATTATTACCGTAATTATTATAATAAAAGAATAGTAAAAATATTTTTTATTATTTCTCGCTTAATAATAATTTTTCTCTTTCAATTTTAAAATATTTCGACCTTTGTTGCATTCTTAACAGCTTTATGTTTTCAAGTTTTATATACCATATTAAAATTTTCAAATAAAACATATTTAAATCGATATATATAAAGAGTCTAATTATACCAATTTTGAAATATATTTGTTAATTGAAAATTTTTAATATGATATGTAAATTTTGAAAACATAAAGTTGTTAAGGATGCAATAAAGATTGGAAGATTTTAAAATTAGAAAAGAAAAATTATTATTAAGCAAGAAATAACAAAAAATAAATTTACTATTTTTTTATTATAAAAATTATGATAATAATTTTTTGATCAAAAAATCTATTATAATACAAAAACAAAATTTGATTTTATTAGGTGTTCTGCCACCCCAGCGGATCGTGCTCATTTTGTGATATTAAAATTGATCACATTAAAATAAGGGATGTAATAATATTGCGAAAATTAGTTGGACACTTGAAAATTTTGCTTGCTTCCCGAAACTTTTCGGATTCGTCTTATGAATCATCTAACTCTTCGGAAACACGTCACTGTCTTCGGAACTTTGATCCGAAAATTGTGATGTGAATCCGAAAGGTTTCTGGAAACAAGTGTCCCACTAATTTTCAAATCAGCTGTAATTTCAGTTTATTTACTCATATCTAAATTGATTATGCTAAATACCGATACATAATCACAATTAGACTATCTTATTGCAACGTGATCATATTTAAAAAATGAGCACAATCCGCCATGGAACCCTTAGGCCATACAAACTTATACTATTGGTTTTCATATCACCAAGTAACTTCTTGTGACCCGGCGACCCGGCTTTTAAT